GTTCCTCCACTATATTAATCAAAGGAAATAATAATTAACAAGTAAAGGTAAGTTTACAAAATGTTATTTTATTATTAAGTAAGTACTTGACTTGTCTTGTCTTTTTGGCATCAAGAAGCTCTTTCACAATTCCTTTTTAGATACTTGACATTCTCAAATTTTAACAATCTCAAAAAGAATTAATTGTCTCTAAAGCTTTTTTTACAATATTAAAAATCACAGCATGAATATTAGACGGATCGCTTTTGCACAAAAAAATACGAAGCTTACTGAAAATTGACAAATATTTAAGAAACTTACCCCGATAGTGTAAATTGTAAATACATGTATAATGATATATGTACATTAGAATATAATGTTAAAATCACTTAAACCACGCACAACAAATATTTCACATCAAATTTTGCTTTTTAGCTCATGTCGTATAATTTTTAAATGCTAAACGTGAATTATACTTCCTGATAAAGACGAAATTAAATTGATTCATTTCTTTTTATGTAATATTGAACTTGTAAATTTTATTCAGTCGACAACATTATAGCAACTAAAACTGGAAAATTTTCTTATCTCGGCGAATCAAAAAAGTGGTGCTAATAAAAATTCACCGAATCAAATTAAAAAAATTACCAACTTTTTTTTAAAGAAACATCCCTTCTTTTAATTTTGCCTAGTAAACTCTTGATATATCATTATGTTTATGTGGTATGCTAAAATCAAATTCTGTTTGCAACTCCAAAATAATATAAATTAAAAAATTAATTAATATATATTTGCATTATTTGAAATTAAAATTGGAACCGGATTTACTTTCTTATTGGAAATTCGGATGAAAATAAATCTGGGTTTAATCTCTAATTTAGAGCTGAAATTAATTTTGTCGACTGGTATAAATTGTATTTGAACGTCTTTATTTTTGCAATTCCTCTTCACAAAGTTTTTGTTTTTCTAGTTTAAAACACTCTTTTTATATATCCTAAATGCACGAAAAATTTAAAGAGCTATTATATATTGAAAATGCAAATATGGTCACCTCGTTATAATCACAGTGTCAGGGAACAAGAGTCCAGTGACTATAACAATATAAAGGGATGATTTTTTATGTTTTATAATAAAATGATGATTGCTAAATACGTGACTATATTGGATGTGACTATAACGAGGTACGATTGTATATAGTTTCCAGTTTTGAATACAGATTTATAGATTCGAAAAAGTATTTAAGTTCGGGATTGAATCTTTACATTTACAATAATACTCCTTCATACAAGATTTATTATGTTTCTACTTACCGAACAGTCGTTTACCCGTTACTATCTCATATATAGTCATCCCAAGATATAATATCTCAGCAGTAGTGTATGGCTTCCCATTTTGCACCTCTAGATGGATCTAAAGAAGTATTCAGTAAAATTTTTTGATTCGAATCATTTAGTTAGCTGAGCTAGTAAATTCTAATTGCCATACAATAATATATTTCCAGGATGGAGGTTACGATGCATAAATCTCTTATAGTGAATTGTGCAATAATCCAGATTTATTTCCTAAGTCACTTTTTTTGCTGCGCTGCTATCGAGCACACATGTGATTTAATGTGGCTTGTGTATGGTTTGCATTTTCCTTTCTCTGGTTTTGTTGATTCCAGAATATTTTATCGTATTATTAAAGATTGATTTAAGAAGGATTAAGGGTTAGGTTGTGGTTAGAGGATAAGGCTATATGTAAAATTGCCTCAGAGTCATTTTTTTATATTTTCCACTTTTTTCATGTTTTTCATTTTTTTGTTGGGCTGATCAATTATTATTGGTTGTTGAGGAAAATTATTTGGTTACTAGCCACACTAAGTCACATGCCTGAGTTTTTTGTGGTTACGCTTTTTTCACAAACTTCTATTGGTTACAGATAAATCCCGATGTGGCCTAGAGCGATAATATTGGGAATAATAATTTACTAATAAAATAAAGTTCTTATCAAGTATATTAATATCACTTTTTAATACTGATAAAATCTGATCAAAATGATACCTTAAATTATAACACAGAATATTAGATCATCAAATTTAGCTATTTAGCCGCTAAAATTAGTGTGGGATACAACCCACGGGATAAAGATAAAGGCTATATATTTTGTGTTGAAATTCAAAGATTTCTTAATTTTTTTCGCTTAATCGTTTCAAAAAGAGAAAAGAATTATTATAAAGAAATCTAATTAAAAATATTAATTATCTAAATTAATAATATAGGTACACATGGTGATTATCTGCGTGAAGGCGTGCCAGAAATCACGTAATTAAATTTACCTTTGTGATTTCAATTAATAACGTGATCATCTTAGAGAATCTATTATAACGTGACAGGTGGCTGACAGCCTTCCACCTTAAAAAATAACGTAATAAATAGCACACCCTTAAGTGTTTTCAAGTAATAAAATAAATTCCTATTAGGGTAGAATTTTAAATAAAAAAAAATACTCGGGGTCTGTTACATTTCACCGGAAATTTAATTAGTAAAAAAAGCAAACTATAAATAAAAAAGGGAAGAGGTTTTATGCGGCGAATTATGGTAATTTTTGTAGACAATGACTGTCAAAATGCTTATTGCACAAAATGTTTCGGATTTTTATTTTTTTATTACATTTGGCAGTTCGAAGAAAAATGTAAAAGAAATTTTTATATTCTAGTATTTAAAATTTGCTTTGGAATGAGATAAATTTCATTTCAGTACTACAAAATATTGAGAGAATATATTATTATTCTTGTTCTTGATAGATATAAAATATATGATTATAAAAAAAGTATTATATGTACATGCAGTGATTATTTTCTTAATAATAGATTTTTGCGCACAGTTCTTCAATTCGATTGTGTAATACCTGATTCTCTTCATAAAGTGTTTCCTTTTCGTTTTCAAGTTTTTCAATTTTATACTCGAGTCTCTCTTTCTCTTCGTATATTTCATCATAATCTCCCCAATTTCTTTCAAGTTTTTCAATTTTATACTCGAGTCTCTCTTTCTCTTCGTATATTTCATCATAATCTCCCCAATTTCTTTCAAGTTTTTCAATTTTATACTCGAGTCTTTCCTTCTCTGCATATATTTCATCATAATCACCCCACTCATCTTCAAGTTTTTCAATTTTATATTCGAGTCTTTCCTTCGCCGCATATATTTCATCATAGTCACCCCACTCATCTTCAAGTTTTTCAATTTTATACTCAAGTCTCTCCTTCGCCGCATATATCTCATCATAATCACCCCACTCATCTTCAAGTTTTTCAATTTTATACTCAAGTCTCTCCTTCGCCGCATATATCTCATCATAATCACCCCATTCATCTTCAAGTTTTTCAATTTTATACTCGAGTCTTTCCTTCGCCGCATATATCTCATCATAATCACCCCACTCATCTTCAAGTTTTTCAATTTTATACTCAAGTCTTTCCTTCGCCGCATGTATTTCATCATAATCACCCCACTCACTTTCAAGTTTTTCAATTTTATACTCGAGTTTTTCCTTCGCCGCATATATTTTATTATAGTCACCCAACTCATTTTCAAGTTTTTCAATTCTATACTCGAGTCTTTCCTTCGCCGCATATATTTCATCATAATCACCCCACTCTCTTTCAAGTTTTTCAATTTTATACTCGAGCCTTTGATTCTCAACGCGTATTTCGTCATAATTCGAATACTCAATCTTATATTCGAGTTCGGAGTTCTTTTTCTCAAGATTATGAATTTGTCGCTCATTAGCATTGATCGCTTCAGTTAATTCACGAATCGTGTTCGAAAGACGCGAGTTTTGAGTCTTTAAATAAATGATATATTGTGCGAAAGCTGTTGGGAGATTGACAATTGAACGCCATTGACGGCATACATTTCTGGCCATGAGAAGAGATTCGATGTTGAGATAAGAAAGTATATGAAACACAAGTTCTGGAGTTGTCAGAACATTTTCAACTGGTGGGATTGCAACTTGCGTATCCTCGTCTTTGTTCTCTTGTTCC